ACCAGGCAAATCATAGTCAGCTGCTGCAGACAGCCAGAAGCAGCCCCGTCTCCCCACAGCTGGGATTAAGACGAAGACATACACTTATGCTACTTCTGCGTTTTTTTAAATAAACCAAAATTCCAGAATTGTCACTACAGACGTTTTGCCGGCACGGAGGCGTCGGATCACCAGGAAGCGGAGTTACAGGTGGCTGTGAGCCACCAAGTGGGTGCCGACACTGAAACCCGGTCCTCTGCAAGAGCAACAAGTGCTCCTAAGTGCTAAGCCATCTCTGTAGCCCCAGGGCAAATAAACCTCTTGAGGGAAAAAATTCAGAGCATGAAAGCTTGTCCATTCCAAAAATAACCTGTGTGGTCAGTGACAGCACACTGAGGCCAGCGGCGGTGTACGGCTGTTCCTACACAAACACACACACACACACACACGTGTGTGTGCCTGTGCCAGCTCAACCGCAGCACCAGAGTGCAGGCATCCTCGGAGGTGAAGGAGCACCCCACCCCCCGGAGTCACAAGGTGAGGTGAACTGCAGTGTGCTCAGAATGGAACCCTGGAATCGGCTTTTTTTTTTTTTTTTTTTTTTTTTTTAAGATGGTGACAGGTGCAAGTGACAGGCAGGTAACCCGGAAGAAGGCATGGCAGACAAGGAGAAAGCAAGGGACGGGCTCAGCTCTCGAATTGTTACATCCAGGACCGGGGTCTCCTCCCAGGGATAGAAAATTTTCCCTCCACGATGATTGACCGGGGGGTTTCGTTGGTGGGTGACTGTTGTGTTTGAGAGAGACCAGGTTTAAACTCCAATCCCCCTGCCTTCACCTCCCACAGGCGAGGATTACAGGCATGAGCCGCCACCACCCCCTCAGAATCCCTTGCTCCACTTCCACTTTGCAAGGCAGAAGGCGGAGAAGGCAGCAGTGGCACTGTGACCTTTAACCTCTAATCTACCTCGCTCTGCTTGATGTGTGGGGAGCAGGTAGCCCTGGCTGTCAAGTCCTGAGAGAATGCCTGCCGCTGCCACGAGCGCCACGGGTCAAGAACACCATCGGAGGGGTGGCAAAGCCTCCCCGGGTCCCAGCGACAGTGCTGACAGTGTGGACTGGACTTGTTTTTGGACTACTCCTCCCCTCCAGGGACCAGTCCTACCTGACTAGCTAAACCTGTCTCCCTGACCCAGCTGCAGGGCATGGAGCCCGCCTCCGTCAGCTGTATGCAATGGCCCTACCTCTCCTTTCGACTCTCAGGAAACAGGCTGAGCCTCCTCTTGGGGGTGCTGTGGTCTCTCTAGCCGAGCCCAGATTGCTCAATGGCAGCTCTCCTGTGTGTCTGTGTGTCTGTCTCCTTCACTCTCTCACTGCGCCAGTCAGGCCCAGCCAAACAGAGATTAGAGACCTGCGCCCCCATCCCAGTTTGTGTGGCGCTGGGGACAGACCCCAGGGCTTCACACGCTAGGCGAGCAATCTGGCCACATTCTCAGCCTGACTGGTTCTTTTCTAAAGTTGAATTGGGGTTTCTGGCACCCCCTTCCACTAATGCCATGACAGCACTGTGTAAGGGGAGGAGCGCTCTGTACCACAAACATGGAGTAAACTACGTCATCCAGCAGTTGCCTCAAACATCTTTGAAAACTTGTCCCCGCGTACCGAAGTTGAACAGCCGGGGACAAGAGAAGGCCTTTGCTCCTGCAGGGGCCACCTGGTGGTGACAACTAGCCTTTCATCTTTGGATCCTATGGAGGGGAGACAGCCACGAGCTTACTCCAGCATCCGATTATTGTTCAAGAGAGCGCCTCTCAAAGTTAACAACAAAAGTCCTCCGTGGTGGCACTCCCCTGTGATCCCAGCACCCAGGGTGTGCAAGCAGGACACAGCTCCATCTAGTTTCCAGCTGAAAGCAAGTCTGCAAGTGGGCAGCTTGGCAGGAAAGAGCTTCCAACCATCCTCGCCGGCTCACTCTTCTGTGCTGCCCTCAGGAGGGGTCCCTGCCGGCAAAGGACCTGGGTGCCGCCCCGCCCACGTGGTGCCTGACCCAGCAGGTCTGGCGAAACCTGACAATCCGCCTTTCTAATGATTTTGCTGTTCTCGGGCAACAAGTACAAAGCAACTTCAGAAAGGAATAAAGGCAAAGGCCTCCACTCGAGAGGCAGAGTCAGGCAGGCGTTGTCTGCGTACAGCAGGCTAAAGTTAGGTGCTAACGTCCCCGAGAACCCAGGCGTTCAGATCAACGAGAAAAGTCAAAGGCAGGAGCAGTGGGATTCACTAAGCTGTGTGCTCCACACGCGCAAAAACAAAAATAACAAAAACTTGATTTTCACATTGCCAACACCAAAAAGTCCCAGGAACCCCAGCCCCAGGGGCCCCATTCCTCTCTGCTCCAAGGGAATTGTAACCTCCGTGTCTCACGGTGGAGAGACCGCCCAGCCCTTCCTTCAGAGTATTTGCTGCTCGTGGGGCCTCTGTGGCAGGTGCGGTTGCATGCACGAAAGTACGAATTTGAGGGCTGGAAAAACTGCTTAGGGGTTAACAGTGCTTACTGCTTTTGCAGAGGGCCTGAGGTTCAATTGCCTGCGACCACGTCAGGCAGATCACAACTGCCTCTAAAGATCCAATGCCACTGGCCCCAGTGGGTAGACTGTGATGGCACACACTTTGAAAAGAAGGGAACAGATGGTTTAAAACAAGGAAAGGGTGGGCTGGAGAGGTGGCTCGATGGCCAAGAGCCTTGCACCCACATGGGGTCGCTGATGACCTCCTACAGCTCCAGCTTAGGTGGGTCGGAGATCCTTCTCTGTCCCCTGGGTGTCCATACACACAAAGTATTTTTAACTTTTTAATGATACAAAAGAACCCAAGATGAAATCAGGTCTGGTCACAGCAAAAGGCTGAGGGCACAACACTCTGAGCAAAGCCGGGGCGCTGCCTACAGCATCCTGTCACATGCTCACAGTAACACATTCATTCCTGGGTCACTCCTGAAGGCCACGGGGATGCTTGGTCGGGAGGCGGCCAGAGATGTCATCTTTGTTCAAACTGTGTTTCAGCCACCAAGTTTGGGGGTCTTGCTTTTGTTACTCTCAGACAGCCTGGAGTTCACAGTCCGCCTCCCTCAGGCTCCCACGAAGAGCTCGGATATAGGCCCTGAGCTGCCAACAGCCACTACTCCCACTGTCTTCTTCATGGTTTCAATAGATGATGAATGAACAATGGGGTCTCCTAAATACTGTTACACTTTTGTTAATTGTATTTACTTCATGTGACTGTGTGTGTGTGTGTGTGTATGTGTTGCCAGAGGACACCGTCCACCATGAGTCACGAACTGCCCTTTCCCACTGGCCCAGCTCAAAAGCCACATGGTGTTATGAACTTCTCCACACTCCCAGCTTTCACTTCCCGCCACTGAGAGCCTAAGCAGAAAGGTGAGGCGGCTTTATACAATGGCGTCTGACTCACCCTCTCCTACCCTTCAGCTTGGTATCCCCACGGGCAGAGAAAGAATTCACCCTTGTTCCAGGAAAACTAAACCCAACTCGAGATTTAACTTGTCAGTTCGATGACATGGCTTGGAGATGAGGGCAATACAACCCAAAACTGGCAAAGCCATGCCTCCTCCAGGAAAACAGCCAGTCTCTTCAGTAGTGTCAGTGTGCAGGGGAGGGGCTGGAAAAAAACTGGCCCAAGAAACCCACCAACTCACTTGCAGCTCCCCAGCTCCTTTGACTCACAAGCAACGACCCTTATCTAAGAAGATATGGAGGAAGCCACAAAATACATGGACTGGCAGAGGTTAGGACTGAGAATTAGCTGGCCGTGCAGGAGCTGGAGATCTACGTGGCCCGGTAGGAGAGAACCCAGGTTCAATTCCCAGCACCCACTTGGTCGCTCACAACCATCCATGCATAACTCCAGTTCTGGGGTATCCCATGCCCTCTTCTGACACGTGGTACATACACATACATGAACAAAAAACAAACCCTTAAAAAACAACAAAAAAACAAAAAAGAACCTAGTGGGGTGCAGTGGTGCACAGCCGTTAAGGCCAGCGCCCATGGAGAAAGTCTTTATCTTCTAAAGATGCACACTACACACACATAGTTCAAAGATGAAAATAAATTCTGAGGTTTGCTTTCCAACAACCCAGGAGAAACCAGACATATAACCCCAGGACCTGGGAAAAAGCGGCAAGGTAACAAGCTTGAAGCTACATGCCCAGTCTGACAGGGAGCCTGGGCTATACATGCTCAGGACAGGACCTGGCTCAAAATAAATCCAGGAAGAGTGCTGGAAAGCACTTAAGTGTTCCCCAACCCCCGGTGAGAAAGAGCATGCTCAGAGGACAAGAGACAAGACTGAGGACCCAGGCTCGGGCCCCAGGTCCTTCTATACGTGGAAGCAAAGCAGCAACCCCTGGAAATTGCCTTCTAACCCCCACAGCCATGCCATGTTGCCTGTGCCCCAACACAAAACTAGTTTTTAAAGTTGAGCGAGCGAGCGAGTGAGCAAGCGAGCACTGGCTCAGGGTTAAAGAGAACTTGTTGTTCTTGCAGAGGACAGGGTTTCTACATGGTGGCTCAACCTGTAACTCCAATTCTAGGGGATACAATACCCTTTTAACCTGCATGGGAATTAAAAAATTTTAATTTGTTTAAGTAAACAAGCAAAGTTAAATGTAAAATGGGAACCTGGGCCCAGGCAAGGCAGCTCAGTGTGTAAAAACATCTGCAGCTAGACCCCACGTGGAAGGAGAAAACTAAACCCCAGAGCTGGGAACGCTGGTGCAAGCCTATAATCCCAGCACTCGGGAAGGCAGAGGCAGACGGATCTCTGTGAGTTCAAGGCCAGCCTGGTCTACAATAGTGAAACCTTGTCTTTAAACTCCAAAACAAAAGACAAACAGCAAAAAACAAACAAACAAAAAAACTAACTTTCTGGATGTACACACATACATACAAACACACACACACACACACACAAACAGGAACACAATGAAAACCAGAACACCAGAACTGTAAAACACCAAATCTATATTTACATCCACATATAATAACATAACTTTAAGCTGAAATATATCATAAATAAAGCATGTCTACTGTCTGACAACTTAAGTATCAACAATTAAAATAAATCAAACTGGAATGAAATAAATACATTAATAAAAATCCAACAAATTGTACCTCTTATCACATGTACTGTTGCCTCAAAGGGAAAGACACACAAAGCAGTAGTATCCCAAGAGTTAATACTGATGATAAGAACACACTGTGAAGTACAAAGGGTTGAAGAAAAACAAAACTGCAAGTCTTATGCACTCAGAAATTGTAGCTACAGAAATCTGAAAGGCCCAAAAATTTCAGCATTACACACATTGACTTGTTTCCTAATAGATTTGGTGATTTTTTTTTAATAGTTTTAATTTTGCCCCCTATTGCATAACCTCCCCCCTCAAGATTTGTATGTATTGTCCCCACGAGCTTCCTGTACACTCGATGGATTTAGGCAAAGATCCAGTCAATCATCTTGCAAATGTGTTAATCTTCAAAAATAGGCTATAAAAAGTGCAGAACCTAACAACAGTCTAGATTATGTACATATGGCTCAGCTTGTAGACGGGAACAGGGCCTAGTGTTCCTGATACAAAAGCACTTTCTACAAGAGCAGATACATCTCCACCCAGGTCTCCGACACAGGAGGTAAGACATCTCCCCAAGGACCCCTCATGTTGCAGAATCAAAGTGGGGGTTCTTTGAGCTCTTCACCCTTTTGTCCTATCAAGAGGGGTGGGGCAAGAAAAATGAGCAGTGCAAATTTATTTCTGAAACAGTTTAATATTTTGGGTTTGCTAAACCCATGAACTGTTGAATAAACTCAAACAAAGGAACTCAAGTTTAAAATGCTAAGTGAGCCAGCTGACGGCTGTCCTCCCTCAGCCCCAAGCTGCCTGTGCATTGAGGAAATCACCCTGACTGTAAAACAAAAAATGGGGAGACAAGAGTGTCTACAGCAAATTTTCTCTCCCTGCCTCCCAGGAGGCTCAGACTCAAGGTGTCCACGCTTCTAACACCAGGCACATGAAGACTCCAACTAAAAAAATTTCCCCAAACCTTTCACTTCCTTTAAAAATGGCTTCCCAGCATGCAGCTCACACCAGGAAATGTGGCATATCCGTCTAGACTTAATTCAGACAACTCTCCGAGAAACTGAATGAAGAACTGAGATAAGCTCCCTCCGGAGCCTGGCGTATCCCTTGACACTGGCCACTCTACAGAGACGGTGTCTCTGTAAGAGCACTTGCTCAAAGCACCACACACAATCTGCAGGGCAGGACGCTGGGGGCTGCAGGGCAACCTGTACACACGAGCTGCTAACAGCTGTACTGCAAGGTGCCGGGTTCAGTCCCGCTGACCTCAAGATGCACAGCACAGCCTGGGTGTCAATACTTCCACCAACAATTCTGTTAAGACAAACAGATTGTAGAGGACTCAACAAAATACAGATCAGGGAGAATGTTTTAAAACACGTTTTAAATGAGAAAGCATAAAGAAGCAAAAACTGCTCAAATCATTGAGCTCCATGAGGGAAAGAAATGCACACAGTACTTAAGCAAGTTTACAACATAGGTATTTACAGTTACCTGAGGTGCAAGCGTTCAACATTCCCACCCCACCCCACCCCCAAGGACGTCTTTTCAGCAGCGCTCAAGTATGCAGAAACTTATTTGGTCAATTCTTTAAAAAAATATTTTAGGGACAAAATAGATTTGCAGCCCCCATTTGTGTACGGCCCAACTGCTCCCACTAGTTTTTATTGCTTTTTTGGTACAAAAGTTAACAGAACTTTAGAATGTAGTGTTCCTTCTCTGCTCCTCTCGGGTCTATGTACAAATCCAGTCACAGCTTGTTCAGCAGCTCTCGGCACGTGCTCTCGGAAGATGAACCGAAGTGTGCTACCATGGAAAGTGTGTACTCGCATCCAGAGACCTAACTGGAGAGAGTTGAAAGGGGTTAGAAAAACACAGTCATTACAGGATCATAAGAAACAAGCTGGGGAAATGGCTCTGCAGTTAGTACACTGGCTCTTCCAGTGAACCGAGTCTGGTTCCCAGCTCAATAGCCCGTCGCCCAAACTCCGAGGGATCCAACACCCTCTTTTGGTCACCAAAGGCACCTGCACTAACAAGGATTCACTCACACAGAGGCGCACATAGCTGTCTTAAAGCATACATGAATAGAACCAGGGTTACCAAGGAGTACAAAGGATTTCACGTCCGCTCCACTTCTGACAACCTATGTCGCTAGAGACTAATCACCCGTTGATGGGTTACTAAGGAGAATCAGAGAATTACAAGAAGAACCAGAACCCAGTACTTGTTACATTCCATCCGGTAACTGCAACAGCCTCAACCTCAGAAGGGTTACCCAGGTGTGATGGCTCACTTCCACAATACCAGGAGTGGGGAAACTGAAGCAGGAGGATTACCAAATTCAAAGGCAGCCTAGGCTTCATAGCTAGTCCCTGTCCCCAATTTGTCAAAAGGGAAGAGAAAAAAAACAACACAGTGTTAGAAATCTTGAATGGTGGCGGGTGAGGCACTCAGTCAGACCTTCACACAACATCCCGTCGTGGGCAGCCACCAGCCATGTTCAGCAAGGAAAGCCCGCCCGCCAACCCCCTTCCCTGAAGTATCTTCTCCTCTCTGCATCCCAGGGTCTATCTACTGGGACATGCCCATGGGACAGTGCTATAGGACTGAGACAGTGGCCTGTGTCCCAGAGTCCCATCTAGCCTCTTCAGTGCTCAATGAGCCCTAAGCCTAAGAGGCGTCTGGCATGGCCACTGCCCAGGCTGTGACATCTACATGGGCAGCCACGCAGTGCTTACAATGTCTTTCTGAATTCAGGAAGCTCCTACGCACACATATCTGACCCATAAGCCCTAAGGGAAAACACACCTCTGCTTGCTCCTGTCCCCAGTTCCCCTCCCGGACAGGTAAAGACTTCAGAATGCTTTGAATTAGCTCTGAATGAAAGAGGCAGGCCCAGCTTCAGCTCTGCGTAGACCCAGGACAAGGCCTGTCTCCTCACACCGGCTAGGTGCGTGTGCCTCCCAGCCTAGAGTCAGGAACCTTGGCTATTTTCAGGAGACCTATTCTAACCCTTGATCACTGTGTTTCACCTCCAATTTAGCTGTTCTAGGAAGGGAGCAGCTCTGGTCTGTATGTAAACAAAAGAGTGTGGAAGCCAGGTGCAGTGGTGCCCGCCCATAATCGCAGCACTCGGAGAGGCAGAGGCAGGCAGATCTCTTGAGATCGAGGCCAGCCTGGTCTACAAATCGAGTCCAGGACAGCCAAGGCTACATAGAGAAACCATGTCTTGGAAAAAAATCGAACAAACGTAACAAAAGGTGTGTCCCAGTACAACCTCTTTAACAGAAAAGAGCAGTTGGGAGTGTGGCTTGCTGGGCCCTGACCTAATGGTGGGGCTGCAGCGAGGATTCAAGAGCAATTAGTACATACTCAAAAATAAGTAAAAGGCTCAATACTCTTCAGGGGCCAGCGTGACTATTTAATGACTATCAGTCACCCACAGTCCTGAATATTTGTTTTTAAAGACAAGGTTTCTCTGTGCAGCCCTGGTTGTCCTGGAACTCACTCTGTAGAGCAGGCTGGCCTCCAATTCGGAGATGCAAAAGCCTCTGCCTCCCGAGTGCTGGCATCAAAGGCAGCAGTCACCACCACCAGTAAATTATTAAAACATCCTTAAAAAAAAAGATGGGAGAGGGAGGGGCTAGAGAAAGGGCTCAATGGTTAAGAGCACTGGCTGCTCTTCCAAAGAACCCACGTTCAATTCCCAGCATCCATACGGCAGCTAACAAAGTGTTTGCTATTCCAGTTCTGGAGAACCCAATGCCCTCATATAGACATACATGTAAGTAAAACAATGCACATAAAATAAAAATAAATAAATCACTAAAGAATATTAGGACGGGAAATATGGCTCAGAGGTTAAGAGCACTGGCTGGTCTTCCAGAAGTCCTGAGTTCAATTCCCAGAAACCATATGGTAGCTCACAACCATCAAAAGATACCTGTTGCTTTCTTCTGGCATGCAGGCACACATGCACGTATGTATAAATAAATAAATCGTAAAAAAAATGTTTTTAATGGGGCCAGTTAGATGGTGTATCTGCTGTGGAGCCTGATGATGGAGCTACTCTCACACTGTGGAAGGAGAGAAACGACCTAAGACACTCTATGTGCACCCCACACTCAGCACACAAATCAGTCCATCAACAAACAAATGTGATATAAGAACAATAATGATTTTTTAATTCAAAAAAAAAAAAGAAAATTTATTTTGTATTATACAAGTAAAACCAATACAATGTATTTTAAAACAATAATGCTCACCTTTTCCCCCCAAAAACCAGAAAGTCAAGTTTTTTTGTCATTTGGTCGATAATGTGTACTTCCAATGAAATTCTCATAGCTTCTCTTCTGCAGCACGCTGTTGGATACATGCTGGTATGACACAGGCCTCTTTCCTAGGTGGGAGAGAAAGGGAAAGGTGACTCCTAGCCCAGCACCAGCAATGGGGCAGGAGGAGCAGGCAGGCACTCATCAGCGTAAGAAGCAAGTAGCTCCATGTTTCTATGACACTCATTAGCACAGTACCACGGGAGACGAAGGGCAACAGAGGGGCACACCTTTAGGCCCAGAGCTGAAGTGGAGACAGGCAGACAGCTATCTATTGAGTTGAGGCCAGCCAAGTCTACAAGTCAGACCCTGTCTTAAAAAGAAACACATGCCAGGCCTGGTGGCACTTGCTCTTAATCCCAGCACTTGGAGGCAGAGCAAGAGGGGTAACTAGAAGTTTGAGGCTATCCTGGTGAGTTCCAGGCCAGCCAAGGCTACACATAATGAGACCCTGTCTCAAGAAGACAAAGTAAATAAACTCAGCACACACACTTATTTAAACTGAGCACCAACAAGTCAGCTCTGGCACAAGTATGGAGGAAGGGAGCCATGGCATCAACTACACAATCAACACATAAGAAACAAGCATACCATGAACCCAAGCTCTGCAACAGGAAAGAGGGTGAAAAACTTGATGGAAGATCTGTCCACGTAAACTATAGAATACTGGACACCTAAACCCACAGGTAGCAGAAAGTACCACTTCAGAGCTGGGAATGTGGCTTAGTTAGGATAGTTTGCCAAGAGCGCCAAAGGCCCTGGGTTTGATTGCCAGCTCCCATAAAGCTCAAATTACTACTTCATGACAACTTTAAGATACTTCAACTGCAGTGGATGAAAACACTTTACAGTACAAGTTAAGTAGTGTTCAGTTCTACAAAAATAAAAAAAAAGTAAAACTGTTTCCACAACTCAACACGTACTGGCTCTTGATCTCACTCCAACCCTAAAGGTCTGACGGTGGCTGTCTCTTTGAAGCAGCACAAACCCACGATACTACAATTTAGACGTATCTGTAAGAGAGAGCCCCTGCTCTACCTTCCTCCGAGAACAGGAAAGCACCAGAAACCTCCACAAAACACTGGAAAAGAAAATGTTTCCCTACGGAAACGCTAAGTCATCACAAGATGACCACTACACACAAGACAATTTCATCAGAAACACAACCAAGTCTCTTTAGCCAGGAGCTCTACTCTCTGCTTCTGGCAGGCCAAGGGGCCGGCCACCCATGTGAACAAACGGGGACACAGAAGAATCCCAAATAGCACCACAGGCTTGGAGTGTTGGCTGCGATGGAAAGAAGAGGGTTGTGACAGAGGGCCTAAGCAGGGAGGGCTTCAGTAGCACTCAGGTTTTGCTTTTTTCTTGGAACGATCTGCACAGCCCAGGCAAATCTTAAGCTCCCATTAGTCCAGCTCCTCAGCCACCCTGACCAGCTAGCACCTGGACTTCAACAGCAAGGAAAGGAACTACCTAACTACTCCCCACCCCCCAACTCCATTTTTTGAGACAGGGTTTCTCTGTGTAGCCTTTGTAGACCAGGCTGGCTGAACTCACAGAGCTCCACCTGACTCTGCCTCCCACAGTGCCAGAATTACAGGAGTGCGCATGTGCCTAACTAGCATGTGTTTATTTTTGTTTTATTCTACATCATTTTCTTACGAGAAACTCTAGACTTAATCCTGCAAAATTAAGCTCTAAAGGCCCACAATCCATTGCAGCGTGGATACGGAAAGATGCTTCCCTGCTCCTGAGAACCCAGTGCTCCTATGGAGTATGTCTAAACCCACGGCCATCAACCTAGTGCTGTGGTAATACCTTCAAGGGCTGGGCTGGTTGCTGTGTGTCCCACAGGTCCACAGGTGTACAGGGGTCCAGGGGCGCTGTAGGGCTTCTGCCCCTCCCCGGGGCTCAGGAAACGGGCTTTCGGGGGCAGCACAGACGGTGGGCACACACACTCTGGTAACAAGGAGGAGATGCTCCTGACCACATGGTACTTGGGGAGCTCGAAGGCCCTTCTACCATTGGGCCCAGGATGCTCTGTGTCCAGGGACACCACACTGGACTTGAGTCTTTTGGGAAGTGGCTCGCTGAATTCTGCTGTGGCACTGCCAGCATTCCGATGGCTGTAGTAGTCTCTGCCTTGCTGTGCCCATGGGCCATCAACCTTCACGGGATACTCGCTGGAACCGTTGCCATTACTACTGTTGAGAGGGGACTGAGAAGGAGCAGCTGACGGGGCCTTCAGTTTCGGCTCGGGTCTTTTCACCTTATCCGTAGCAGCAGAGACGCCACCTTTGGGAAACAACTCTGACTGCTGCTGCCTGGTGGCACCAGGGCCCCCGGCACTGGGCTGCGACCTATGTGCCTTCAGGTTACTTGGAGCTAAAGTGCTGTTGTCCGGTCCTGAAGTCTGGGGAGCTTTGCTTGGACCCGAGGTCCCCTGCCGTACTTTCTCCGGGTGCAAGGACTTGGCCTGTGATGAAAAGGCAGGCTTGCCCTTTGGCTTATGCAGACCAGACAAGGGCGGTACATCCTTGCCCAGCAAGGCAGGGGGGCACCCAGTCCGCCTGTTCCTCAGCACAGACTTGCTGCTGCAGTTCTTATGTGTGTCAGGGTTGTACCTATGCTCCAGTCTCTGGTGCATCATCAGGACTTCTGGATAAAAGGTCTTAAAAGTACAGAAGGGACAGGCAATGCTGGGGATAAGACACCTGCTCAGAGAGATCGCAGGGCAGGCGTGGAGTGCCCCAAGGGACAGATTCAAAGGCCTGTCCTGGAAGTCAGCCTCCCGATCCATCTTTTCCCTGTGGCCAGCTTCTCGAGCTAGGGGCCCAAGCCCCTCTAGTTTGCAGGCAGGGCTCCTGGCCTGAGGCTCACCTGCTGCTCTCTTTCTTGGCATGTCCAGATAGGCAGAGGCAGGACTCTTTACAACTTTCTCGACGTTATCAGCTGCATTTTTATGGAAGTCCTGAGTATCGTCGTTGTGTGCTGGTGAGAGGACAGCACTGCCCAAAACGCTCTGAAAGACAGAATGTGTCTCCTTAAGCTGCTTGGGAGGTGGGCTGCCCTTAACATCTTTGGCACCATCAAAAAATCGCTTTAAATTTTTGGTCTGCGCACTGTCGGCCGTTAGTAGTGCATCCTGCAGCTCCTGGCTCCGGCCTTCACTCTTAGACTCAGCTGCAGCATCCACCAGCTGCTTGTCCTTGTGGTGTCTCTCCAAGTGGTACCTCAGAGATGTCTTCTGGGCTGCAGCATACTCACAGAATTCACATTTGTATGGTTTTTCACCTAAAACGAGACATGCCACTGTATCATGATGTTTAGGAAAGGTGCCAGTAGAACTATGCAAGCTAAACAAGCTATGGCACCAAGCGTGGATTGTTCCCTATCTGCCAATTCTCATATTTAGGGCATCTCCAATGAACACTTTAAACATAAACCCATCTTTCCCAGAAAAAGCTCACTGCACACTGTACCCGACCTGGCCTTCACTGGCGCCCTATGGCAGCGCATGCACGCTTTCCCAGCTAAGGAAGTGGGAGCACAGCGGACTAGCCACTGCACCGAGACACAAGGAAGCCCCACACCTCCAGGCCCGTGCTACCACTGCAACTGCTCCACACAGCACCCAACACAACCTTGCTTCACTCCAAAGTCAGAAAAGGGCTTAAGAAAAAAATGGAGCACTTAAAACTATTACAGGTTTGCCTTAAAATACAGCAGCCATAGCCAAGTTCAAAAGGACCCACCGTTCAAGATGCAGCCATGTTGTATGGACACACAACAGCTGTAGACACCGCACTAAAGTCATCTGAACCACAGAACAGCACAGAATTATTTCAGCTAACACATGCTTTAAAAAACAAGTCTTTTACCTGTATGCGTTCTGAGATGAATATTGAGGTAATAGTTTGAACGGAAAAACTTCCCACAGTAACTACACTCTCTCGAGGACGTGAGGGGCTTTGCTTTTCCTCCATCATCATTTTTATCTTAAAGCAGAAACAAAAATATTTGTGTAAGTCAGAGTAAGTACAGGATTCAGGCATTTAGACTCCATTTTCTCAACACAAAACATTTGGGGAAACCATGAAAGAATTATTTTAGTTCTGAGTATAAGTTTCAAAGGCAACACACCAAATGCCATCAGGCAGTGTTTCATGTCTTATATTGTGTGCTTTTGTTTTAGAGACAAGGTATCACTATGTCTCCCCGACTGGCTTGGAACTCAAGAGACACCAGACTCCCCCTCTCTACCCACACCTGCCTCCCCAGTGCTAGGATTAAAGGTGTATGACACCATGCCTGGCACTACCCTGTGCTGTGTTGTGTTCTGAGTACAGCTTAGTGCCCTAGTGAAGACTCAGGGTTCCTACCTTAATCACAAGAATGGCCATTTAATTAACAGATGAAACCTGACAGGCAATTTCTGTTCTTCTCACTTGGCATGGTTCATACTTAAAGTGCCCACTGGACAGAGAAAACTGCCTTACTCAGAACCAGTCATTTCATTTGGAGGAAGTAAAAAGACCTCCCAACCACCAACAAAAAACAGCTTGAGATTTAAATTACCACTAGAGGGCAGCAAGCACAAAATAACCTCAAAACCAACCCGGGGCTTAGCTTTGGGCAAGCACCTAGGAAAGTTGACCATGTTTGGGAAGGCAGAGCCTATCTTTTCCAAGCAATCTCAAGGGCAAAACAGACCTGGCTCACTAGAATCTACTCCAAAGGCAAGGCTAAAAGTGCCTGATGTGAATGACCCACGGGGGCAGACTAATTTATCCTGGCTAAGGCTTTACCCTCTTACCAGCCCACCAACTTTCAAGTGATGAGCAACTATCAAGAGGCCTCCACTACTTTCTGTCTTTTCTATTAGGTGTAAATGAGCACCATACGGTCATCTCCTGAAGTCTAGTTATCAGGCCATGGTGCAGCACAGTGGTCCATAACAAATGCACAGATCGCATCTGGGTTCCAAAAGGCATAGTTCAACTAGTAGTTTTGCCTTACAAACTGAGTTCCAATTACAAGCCTCTTCCCTGCTCTGCCATGTGCTTGCTGCATGTGTTCTTAATACACCTGTGTGAGGGCAGGTGGAATAAATGGGCCTGCGCCATCTCATTACACCAAATCCCTTCTAGGGAAGGAGATCTATAAAGCACACAATTCCTAGCCTAAAATGGTACCGAGGTTTTGAAAACTCATACTTTCTTTCTGAACTTAACGGTAAACCTAAGGCAGACTGGCTGACAGCACAATGGATGACCCCTCACAGTCAGGCCCACTGCATTCAGCTATGTTCCAAAGCTTGCCCTGCCTCCAGCTGTGTCCGGGTGTAGGCTTTGTTACATCACATGCAAAAGGCTAGAGACAACTCCAACATACAGGCTGTGTGGCCTTTCAAGGTCTGGCGCCTGCCTTCTATCCCAGGATTTGACTGGACTGCGCTGTTCTGTACAGGATTGCAAACTTTGTTTCCCAAAGGGTTTCTCTGTGTAGCCTTGACTGTCCTGGAGCTCTCTTTGTAGACCAGGCTGGCCTCGATCTCACAGAGATACACCTGCCTCTGCCCCCCAAGTGCTGGGATTAAAGCTCTTAGGTTTAGGATTGCAAACTTTTACAACAAACTTCATCCTAGGGAGAAGTGCCAGAGGTGGATGAGCCTATTTTGCAAACAGGGATATCAGAAGGAAAGGTTGGGCTATGTATAATGAGTCACCAGGAACAACAGCCCGACCCTGGCGCTCCCACCAATGGTTAGACAAGCCAGAAAGCCTCCCGAGGACCCCTCCAAGCTTTCCACCATATGTAATGGCTGACTGATTCCTTTCTCTGGAGCATGAAGGATCTCCAGTGTTGACACCACTGGCCCTGCACAAGCCCAGAGGCCATCTGAGGTTCTTAGACATGATACACACCATGTATCCTCTAGGTTTCTAGGGACCGAGGAACGGGTGCAATATGCTAAACGCGAAGTCTGCCCTGTCCCTGGGAACTCCACTGACCAATACTTGCACTGAAAGCCAAGATCCTCAAGTTCATTAGTGATCAGATAAAGAACTGGGTGCAGGTTCACATGCAGTGGCTAACAGATTAACTGCTCCTCAGACTTACCCTGATCTCAAAGACTACCAACACACCAACCAGTGGCCACAACATCTGGAAGTGTTACCATTAACCTGTAGACCACACCCACACATCAGGGGTGTTAGCTACTTTGACATGAAACAATGGCTCAAGTGGGGTGAGCAGCAAGAGGAGAAACAAGGGTGGACTCCATTGCTCTAAGCTCAAACCCAAACCATGAGACAGTGGGCAACAGCTTGTTTCTATAAACACCATTAGAACACACCAAATTCACAGAGCAGGCCTGAAGTGGGCCCACATCCCTGGACTTCACCAACAAACCATTTGGAAGCTCCCTCATAAACACTGGCCTCACAAAGACCAAGGCAATCACAGCGCACCAGGTGATTTCCACAGCAGGACTAGCAGACTCTGATGAGGAAGTCTCCCTGCTTCTTCTGGGACCACTAGAAACCCATCTGGATAAAAGCATTGACAGACAGACAGACAGTCCTGGCCTTACAAGTTAAGAACAGAAATGCCAGAACTGGTACAAAGTACTGGGTCTCAGTCCCAGAACTCCTAGCATCCTGCACCAGGTCACTGCCTTGGTCCAGCACTTACGGCGGCCAGCAGCATCTTTGGCCTCTACCCCCTTAGAGCACTAGCTCTAAGAACCTAAGTCCTTTGGGAGCACAACATCCAGAGAACCCTTCTGACAGGCCTTTGACCTCACCCCCCTAACACAGAAATGAGAGACAGTGGGGGCCTGAGATGCTGAGTGGACAGTAACACCACAGAGCACTGGCATCAGAACTCGACTCCCAGCAGTCCCTGCAACCCTGCCTGGGAGGCAGCACAGTACTCACCCAAGTGGAGCCCTTCAGAGAGCCCATCCTCAGAGCCGTCTTCTGAGGCCCCTTCTCGGTCCACAGCCCCGCTGTCTTCCAGAGTGGTGGCGAGGTCTGGGGAGCAAGTCCCAGGCTGCCTCCCATCCACAGACATGGTGGGTGATGGGGCATCAGCCCTCCTGTCCTTCTTGTGCACCCTGGAGTGCAGGACAAGCTGGTGGTAGGTCCTGAAGGCTTTACTGCACTCAGAGCAGTGTGTGGGCTTCTCCTTGCTGCTGGGCAACTTGGGATCACCATCCCCAGAAGGCACTTCACTGTTGGCATGTCTAGGCTTCTCTCTGTCTTGCGAGAGACCTGGACAACTGTTTCTATTTGTTTTAGACTTTCCAGAACCTTCCGATTTACCCCCAATCCATATTTCTCCAAGTTCCTCTTTCTCTGAACATGAATCGTCATTGTCCGTGCTTCCTTCTTGGCCTGACTCTTTCACCTCTTCTTGGGCAATGGCCACTTTTCCTTTGGTAGCCAGCTGCCATGCCTGGTAGGTGGTGAACGGGTCAAGCTGAGGTATAGAGGTCATGGGCTTCACTTCAGACTCTGAAGTTGATCGGGGTCTCAAGTTCAAAAACTGCAGCAGCTCTTCCTTCAAGGATGTGGGTCCCTCTTGCTGGGCATCAGGAGCTGTGCTGCTGGCACTGGGCGCAGTTTCTTTGGCATGAACCTTGCTGTGCTCAATAAGGCTCTGCTTATTTGGGAAGAGAAAGCCACAAACCATACAGATCTTGTAGGGAGTGGAGATGCTCCCAGCTACATTTGCCTGAACCACTTCATTGATGGTGACAGGAGTCTCCAGACCCTGCTGCAGCTTGCTCCTGGTGCCAGACTTGCCATTGTGTGTCCGCATGTGGTTCTTAAGGAACCACGGCTCCTTGAATCTTCTCCCGCACATGCTGCACCCATACGTGAAGGAGTCCTTATGTTTCTTCATGTGGCTCTCCACATCAAAAGCCATGGGGAACGTCTGCCCACACACATCACAGCTCAACTCTTCGTTTTCTTTGCTGTTCTTCTCCTTTGGCGGGTCCGTTGGCACCTGACCTTTATCGAGGGGACTCAGATACTCAGCCTCCACACGCAGGACGGCTGGCTCACAGAGGGTGGGCCGGTGCTGCAGGAGCACATGCTGACTGAGGTCTTCTGCATGGGAGAAGGCCTGGTTGCAGAACATGCAGTCCAGGGGCATGTGCCCTTCCACTGGGGCTGTGCTCTTGTCCTGTGCAGCTCGGAAGGGGACTGCAGCTGGCCCTTTGGTGGGCACGGCATCATCCACCTCCACCTGGGGGCCTAGGGAGCTGCCAATGACTTCTGGCCCATCCATGTACACGAGGAGAGATTGAGTTGGCATGCTGCCTTCCACTTCAGGGTCTGAAAGGAAGGACGACCCAGCTGTCTGCTGAGGAGTTAGAATAAGGCCACTTAGAAGACACCTCTCAAACCTTCAGGAGCCCTGGGCTTCAAAACTAGAGCAACTTTAAGTTCAGAGAGACGTGTATATTCCAGAGCTTGGAGGAAGCTCAGTGAAGATGGGTCTTTGCACAAACAAGGCATCCAGGCTCCCCCTGTGCTGTGATTCAGATGTGAGTCAGCATGAGGGCAGTAGTTCTGACCATCTCCACTGGGTGAGTGGCTGGCTCAGTTGAGCAAGACGTCGATCCCGGCAATGTGAAGACAAGGGACTTCCAAATCCTGGAAGAAAAAAACAAGACTAGTGAGGAAGGCTCAGAAAGAGGGCCTGGCCCATGAGTCACGTGGTATTTTCCACAAAAAGGGACTATTGCCTCACCTTTAACTAATCCATAATGCATCCTGCTAAACATGTTTGTTAATTAAGTGTTAGCATATTTCCCATCCGATACACTTACTAAGTAAGTAGAATTTCAACCAGTCAGGAGACTTAAGCCAGAGAGAGCTTGCTCAGAGATATATAAATGCCAAGTTTAAACAAGGAGTGGTATGGACAGGCCAGCCTAGGCTATCCAGTTAGTTCAAAGGAAGCCTTGTTAACAGAGATCAGTCTCAAAAATACTAAGAGCTCAAGCTTTCAGACAGAAGTGTTACAATTTTATGTCTCAAATGCCACCAAAATGCACACATCTCCTATATAGACTACAAGTATTACAAAAGCCCAGCATGGTGGCATACATCTTCAATCCCAGCACTCCAGAGGAAGAGGCAGGTAGATCTCTGAGAATTCAAAGCCAGCCTGGTCTACAAAGCAAGTTTCAGAATGGCCAGAGCTACAGAAGCCTCAGAGAGTCCCCATCTCAAAAGAAAAAAGGCATGAAAACAAACAAAACGAGGCTGGTCCAAAACCTCAGCCCACAACACAGGGGCCTTTACTCCAACTGTGTTTGGCCTTAGCCCAGGACCCCGTTGTGTCTGGGGCACTGGATGCTACCAGGTCGAGTAGCACTTCCAAGGGAAAATGACCTACCAGATGCAGAAGCCACCTTCTTTCAAGTGTGCACATTTCTAACAGGCCGCCTCGGACCTGGCTCCGTGGGGCCCATTCTTCCATCAGAAAATACACTTCTCACCTCTCCCTCCACCTGTCACTGAGGTCCTGGCCAGGTAAAAGGGGGGACTTTATTTAACACTCTATGGGTTCTGATTTGCAGGCTGACTTTTCAAAGATTTAATCCCTAAAAAAGGTCAATATCCTTCATGGCAGGGTTTGTTTTTAAAGAGTCCCGCCTCTGCTCCTGAAGTTTGCGGAAACAAAAGGCTACAAGGACACCTGCCACAGCACGCTCCTCCCTTCTGCGTCCCACCCCAGCACATCATGAAGCTGGCTCTTCCCCCTCTTCACACTGAGCAGAGAGAGAATGCAGAGCAGACTGGGGAAGAGGAGCGCACCGCTGGCAGGGCTTTATCTTCATTTCTGCCTTTGTTGCTATCACAATGGAGGACAAGTACCTGGAGTAGTGACACCCTGTGACATAACAGAGACCCGAGTTTCAGTCAGGACCTTCAAAATGTCACACCAAAGCAAACTCAACCTGGATCCACTTGCTGTGGTTAAAAACTATAGCAAGGCTGACAAGCACTACCCCGTCTATGGCTGAGGACACACAACCAGAGCATTGGCAGCAATATAAGCTTGGGACCAGTGATTTAGATTTCTACACACTCACTAACCAGAAGTCCACAACCTGGGCAGTAAGTATGCTCACTCGAGAATGAGGCACATACTCCAGAAAGGCAGGACCACACCCTGCCACCCCTGACACTCAGGACCAGGAAAAGGTTACCCGCATCTGTCTCAAAAAACCAAACATGGCAACAAGCAACAGTGACTTCTAGGCCAGCCTGGACTGGACGGTCGTTTGAAACCCTATCTCAAAAAGGCTAAAAGCAAACCTGGTTGAGCTGGGTGGCACAGCAGGGGAGGGCATCGCTGCCTGGTTAAGCCTATGCTTTTGGAAGAACACCACTCCGCTACAAGCTCCCTTTCCGGCCTGTTTCAAACCATGATCGACCTGGGAGGTCCAGTGACTTTCAGCCCCAGGAAGCACGATCTGCCCCACACATGAGCTGGGATAGCAAAGCTAGAAGCACTTCCTTCTCCTGGGAGGCTTCCAGAAGTCTCTGATAGTCACAACTACGCCCAACTATGATCAAGACTTGGACAGCTTCTTAAGACTGAATGCAAGTCTGTCCCATAGAGCGACTACCCACCACCATCCACCACGGTTCCATTGTGACATACTCGTCTCCACCTAAAACCATCCTATGAGGAAACAGAAATCTAAAAAGTAACACAAACTTTAAATTCTCTTGCTGTGAATTATCTTTCTCTACCATCATTTTAAATATTTTTTTAAAGTTACCAAATATAAAAAAATAGCACCCTAAGCACCCAAGGACAGAGTTGCTGGCTGTTCACTGCTGTTTCTCCAGAAGCTGACTCTAGACTAAGAGACACCCAGGACTTCGACAGAAAGCAGGGACTGAAACAGCACACATCTCTCTCAGGCTATGGTCCCTCCACCCCTGATCTGATGCTAAAGTGAACCTTAAGTCAAAGGCTACCACCCCATGACCACTCCATTCTCTGCAACCAAGAGAATGATTTTTTTTTTAAGTATGTATGTGTCTGTATTGAGTATGTGCACACATGTGCAGATGCCTGCAGAGGCCAGAAGCTGGGGGTTGGGTAGAAGAGAGATGTTACATCCCTGTAGCTGGAGTTACAGATAGCTGTGAGCCACCGGATGTGGGTGCTGGGAACTGAACCCAGGTCCTCTGGAAGACAAACAAATGGTGTTAACTATCATCTCTCTAACATTTTTTTGTTGGCTTGGTTTTTTCGTTTTGCTTGGTTTGTTTAGTTGTGTTTGTTTTGTTTTGCAATCAAGTCTCTCTACATAGCAATGGATGTTGTAGAACTCCCTATGTAGACCATTCTGACCTTAAACTCAGCGACTTGCCTCTGCCTCCCAAATACTGGGATGTAAAGAATGTACCACCACACCTGGCTTCTCCCAGATTCTCCCCCACATTACACAAAGCTGACCAGCACAAACATCCCTGAACTGAGCTGAGGCCACAGTGTGGTCAGCTGCAGAGAGCAACGGCCTATCACACCATGTGTATGTCTGGGGTTCTCCTCTGGCACTGAAAACACGACTGCACACTTGGGTTTGTCCCTCAAAATCTGACAGCAGGTGCTCGCCCTTCTTCACTGAGAAGCCACTAATCTGGCTCAACTACAAAGTGGCTAAATAAGTTATCCACACATCAATTAAAATCAATTTGCTAAACTATAACCTTTAAAGATTGCCATAGACTTAGTACCAGCACCTATCAAAACAGTTGTTCCTCTGTAGTTACTACCTAACAAATGGTCCCTCTGCCTGAAGTATGAAAGCATACAGCTTTGCCACAGTGTTCTAGCCTTCCTCCTGGAGTGCAGAAGGCAACAGGACTGAAGAACATCAATGCAATATAGGTTTGTGTGGTTGTCAGGAAAGCAAGGATTCTAACCACACCAAGCTTGTTAAAAAGTACTTTGCAAAAAATGTCTGTTTAGAACCATGTGTAAATCTTCATTTCTGTAAAGAAAGCACTGAACCTGCCGCCCACAATGGAGCTGGCCAGGGACTCACTCTGCATGCCCTTACATCTTGAACAACCTGGGGCTTAATGCATATTAAGATTACTTCACTTACTTTTTGATATACAATCACCTTTGAAATTCAGTAAGAACCATATGGCTTTAACTGCTCCAGTGTATCTGCTAATTCTGTAAGTCACACATTGATGTGACTAAAGCAACCATGAATTCTACCAGTATCTGACTGTAAAATTAGCAATTACACAAGATAGTGGAAAGCTCAACGGACTGCTCAAAGCAGTTCATCAGGGGAACTGCCACGCTGACTACTATACTTGGCCTTGGAAACACCACGGCACACCCATGTGCTCACGGCCCTCAGACAACACATCTGTGCTCTTCCTGTGAGTATGTTACCTCACATTTTCGGTAAAGACTATCCTACTGAGTATCAGGAAGGCAGTCAACAACTCACGGTACTACTACACTCTGGCCAATCCGCTTCCATCTTTAAAACTACAAAATTAGGGCAGGAGGCACGGCTGAGTGACTAAAGACACTGGCTAGTTACTCTTCCAAAGACAGTTAGGTTCAATTCCTAGTACTCATGTGGCAGCTCACAGCCTGCTAACTCCAGTTAAAAGGGAAAGACACATACCCTATTCTGGCCTCCAAAAGTACACACACAGTACTGAGAAGTACATGCAGGCCAAACACCTATAAAGTTGTTGTGGGAGAATTCACGCAGAGTGACTCACACCTGTAATCCCAGCACTTAAGAGTCAGGCGATTCTCTGTGAGTTCAAGGACAGCTTGGTCTACAAATAGACTACACAGAGAAACCTTGTCTCAAGAGGCTGACAAGCTCTTGGGGGTGGGGGGGTGTGTATTAGGATTTGCTGCTTACTTGAGTGTACGTGTGTACCACTTGCATGCGGTGCCCAGAGTTTGAAAAGGGTGCCAGACCCTCTGGAACCAGAGTTCTGAATGGTTGTGAGCCACAATCTAGGTGCTGGGAACCGAACTCAGCCTTCAACAAGAGCAACAAGGTTCCTAATCTACAGGTTTTTCTCAACCATGCAGAAGGACTAACTTCTACATAAGTCTATAGTAACAACCAAAACCTACCACCTTTTTATTTGTGTGTGTATGTGGGGGAATGCATGCCACCACACATATATAAAGATCAAAGGGCAGACAATTCTAGGAAGCCAGTTCTCTCCTTCCAACATTCTCCCAAGAATCAAAATGCAGGTCATCAGGCTTGATTGCAAGTGCCTATCTAGGGGTTGGGGATTTAGCTCAGTGGTAGAGCGCTTGCCTAGCAAGCGCCAGGCCCTGGGTTCGGTCCTCAGCTCTGGGGAAAAAAAAAAAAAAGACAAAATAGCAAGTGCCTGTCTAGGCCATCTCCACAGACCCTAAACCTATAACTTTTGATCTTTCCACACTATGCCAAGGAAAGCACCAAGGTCACACGAAGAGCTAAGTGGTCAGCCCAACTTTCCTACCAGGTGAGGGAGAAAAAAAAAAAAAACACTTAATAAAAGTTCAGAGAAACAAGATTTAAGTGTAAATTCTCAGTTTAAATTTAGCATCACAGCTTGAACCATCACAGGCAAAACACTGCTGTAAGGCAAGGTAGAGAAGATCCTGGGCAAAATAACCCCATTTCCTCAAAGTCATATAAAAACACTCTCAACACTAAAACTCATGAGGGCAAAGGACTACAGTATCCTATTCCTAGCCTCCCCCCTTTAACTATAAACTGCCAGATTCACCCCCAATCAGAGTTCAAGTGTGCCAAAGGATCCAGTTTTACTTTTAATATTATCAAAACTAATGATACTGAGAGCTGTAAACTTGACTTACAAATACCCCATGTTGATCTTCTGTAAAGCAGATTACAGGGGAAATGACATTCTTGGTAATTTTCTATTAGGCAAGATGGAACACTGGTGTCCCGAGTTTCCCAGAGTAACTTCTGCTTGTGCAGGGCAACCTTCCATGTGCTGGGAGAGCCAACAGAGCCAACTGCACAGAGGAAAAGGATTTCAGGAAACTAAAAAAGCAAACCCCAGAACTACCTGGACTTGTTGGGTCTAGAGATTACACTGATTCAGTGTCTTTGTGCAGAGCATGTCTATACATACATGCACACACACAAATACACACACATCGTCATCAACAAATAATATGGTCATTATGTGGCACCAAGAATTACACACTATGCCACTTTTTTTTAGGTTAAATGGCAGGGTCTAAATTAAGAGTCACTTTAACTTCAAGTAGAATACAAGCTCAGGAAACGTCCTTAAAACACAGGCTTTTTCTTCAACCTCATAGAAGGACCCCTGCCTAGATTTACTGAAGTTGAATAAATGCTAAATGTGTATCCAGCTCTTTCATAGTTACCTGTTTGCATCTCAAATAAAAATAAAATCTCCTTTCAATGAGTAAGACCAATCATTGTTGGAGAGATTTACATGTTAAGGTGTAAACCATTATAAGAAATAAAAGTCTGCCACCAAAAGTGAATTTTATCCTATTAAGTATTCACTTATCCAGAGTATCTGGCAGACCACTTCTTTACATGATACTATTTTACAGACACGTAGCCATTCAACACAATCTTAAATCTAAAAGATCATCACAGTCACCCATTAAAAAGCCAGCCTGACTTGGAGGCAAGGCAGGCAGTGTAGGCCAAAAAGGCAACTGGTAAATCTAAACAAAAGCCAGGAGGATTCAACTCTTGCACACCTTTGCTCCAAAGCTGCCTCTCCACGTTCAGTAATTTTATTTCTCAACTTTATCATAAAATTACCAAACTGGCTCAAAAATGTTGCTAGCCTGGGCAGGAAGCAATGGACTGTTTAGAAGGCTGCAGTCTACAAACGTTCAAATGTAAAAATTTCTCTAGGGAGCTCAACATAAAAGGGTAATTTGTGGCGGCAGCTGGCTAACAGGGGCTTTCCCCATTTATTTGGAAGCTAGACATGTCCAAGAACTGAGCTTGCTCATCAGGAGATGAAGATTTTAAGAAAATGGTGGTGTGCCCCCCCCACACTTCCTTCAAGGCAAGATTTCTATCTGCTCTCGTGGTCTGAATTCAAAACCCTTTGGCCCACATACCATTGCAAATTTGCCTGCTATATTACTGGCTGGCCAAGAACCTTAATCCAGATCACCTAACTGAAAGGCCAGCTTTGCAGCAATTTCTACAATGGCCCCACAACGAGGCCATAAAGTGATATTCCGCCAGCTTCCCACACACACGCACACGCACAACAAAGTAAAACATTTCCCCCAAGTCTTTGTGTGATGATACTCTTTCCTACGCGCTCATGCACCTAAACTGGTTAACATCCCTCACCCTGAAGAACCTGGGGCTGAGGTATGTGGGCTGGGGCTCCTCCATTGTCACAGCTTGGATTTACATGCCTGTAGCTAAGCACTTCCTGGTTCAGAATATTTAATAGGACAGGGATCCTTTAAATCAATTTTGGTAAGCTATTCTATACCTGTTTTCCAAGTTTTTATTTTTAATAATCCTAAATTAAAAATTATTCCATATGCTCAGCTGTGGTCTTTTAACTTAAAATGGCACATTTTGATACTAGACTACCCAACAGTTGATCCAAACTGCCTCCCTCATGTTGTTCCTTGTAATTCTATAAAGCTGGAAAACCCACACTTCTTGATAGCTCAGCTTCAACTTCCCAAATTATTAATTACACATACTGCCACGGGATTAAACTGAAATGGGAAATCAGGAACCAGCCATTTAAAACAAATTATTGCCAGTGACCTCAAAATTCATAATGCAAGCCACACAGCACATACGAGAGGAACAATCTCAAAATAATTATTTTCTGACTGCTTGGAAACATGGCTTCCTCTACAGTACTTTTAAGTCCTCAGTCATTTGTTTTCTTGTTTTCACAGCAGCCAGATAGCAGATCTTTTATGAAGTCCTGTGTTTTAGGCAGTCAAGGGTCATTAAAACTACTCCAAAGTTCTTGTCAACCAGTATCATGTTTGGAACAAGTGGGAAAAAAGAATGTCATTTGATATTCTTGATAAAGTGGGAGCCCCCGAGGCTGTAATCAGGCAGCTCAGAATGAAGAGGCGCCTGGGCTGGGGGTGGCAGCCCTGCTGTGGCACAGCATCTCATACTAAGGCGATGTTAAGGGAGAAGAAAAGGTGATTAGCACGTATCTGCCAGGAGACAGAGACTGAGTCACCCAGGGCCATTGTATGCCTTAATTATTTCATCAGTTTATAAGAGACTTGATGATTAAGTCTTATTTTCAGATTTCCTCCAAAGCAAGCCCACTGGAAAAGGATTAGGGGCTTCTATCCACCCACAAGTTTCTATGCCAAAAATGGAGACTTACAAAGAGAATGCAACACCCCCCCCCCAAGAAGCCAGAGTCAGAACTTTCTCCCCCTCTACCTCCCTTACCACCTGGGGGAAGAGAGAGAGAGCGCTATTATTAAAATAGATCCTTCAGCATAAAGAGGAAATTTTTTCTAAGTGGTATCTTAGTTCCTTTTTAAAGAAAGAAGTGAAAGGGGATAATACGAAGCCAAGACACTTACTAAACTTCAGTCTCATGAGTTATCACACTGAAAAAGAGGAGAGGGACTACAAAGTGGGAGGAGGTGTTGAGAGGATAAAAGGGGCTGGAAACTTTCACCAGCTGGTCTTTCCCCCCGCTTCCTCCTCCTGTATGCAGACCATGGTAGAGCCTAAAGAGCCAAATAATTCCCAGGGATGACTAACCCTCTTCTAACTATTCACAACTGAATCTTCAGAGGTCACTGCCTCTTGGATTTTATACTTACATAACTGGAAAACTAGCAGCATGGGGGGAGGGGGCCCAAGGGGGTGAGTCTCAATAAAATCATCAGATTCAAAGTTAAAGTCAAAATAACTGAAAAGCAAAAATACACCACCAGACTCCAGAAGTTTGAAAAAACAGTATCTGAAATAAATAAGACTTCCCGAGAGGGAGGAGGAAAAAGTCATCTACCATTAAGGACACACCTTAAAAGTTCTCGACACATTAAGCACAAGCTAGTGGTTTGATGAGTTCGCTTTTCAAACAGAAACCAATTAGGTTAGTTCTCTGCACTTGTCACTGCAGACAATTTTTTAACTAGACCTGCTAACTCATCCTTCTCGAAACAAAAATTTAGCATCTGAAATCTGATTTGGTACCAACCAAAGCAGTTGATCACTTTGGGAAAAGTAGTCAAGAACACTCTGGACGTCCTTCACTTACAAAGAGAGGTGAAAGGCCCCCTGAGGCCCCTACCTAGTCGCCAGGCATGGCCAGCAGCTGTGGCTACCCTGCCTCTTCTTTTGTTGGCCTTAATCTCATGTCAAGTTATTCAACCAACTCAAAAGCGATGAAGACATAATTGAATCAACCTGAACTAAATCAGATCTAGGCCTCTTAAAACATACAGCTTAATGGCTCCAACCCATCCCAAACCAGGAAACTGGCCACGGGCTCCAGTGGCACACATGGTACCCTACAGCCCCAGGACCCCAGGCTGGCGCCCCTTGACCAACGCATGCTCAGGAATGCCTGTTTCTCAGAAAGAGAAACTAAGGCTCACAGGACACACAAGCCTTCCGGCTGGGAACGACCACCTTCCCCCGCTCCCGCCCCAAACAATAACAACTTTCTATAACAAAGTTTCTTCTGGGGGAGTGCGGACCGGCCCCAACTAGGGATCCCAGAAACGGACACCCCCCCCCCCCGGGATTTCGGCTCACTTCAGGAAGCAAACCTTTCGGGAAAAATCCCCGCCTGCTGTCCCCACCCCCACCCTCCCCGCCCAAGAATGCGCTTCCCGTGCTCCGAGGGTCTGGGGCGGGGGGCGCCCTTCCCTGTGCGCCCGCCCGCGTCAGGGCTAAACTGAGGCGCACGGGGCCGCGCCCTCCCGTGTGCGGTTCCGCCTCCCGCCGCCTCGCACGAACTTCCCACGGGAGTTTGCGGGGCGTTCTAAGTTTGGGCGTGAAACCGAACACCTCCTCTGGCTGGCAGGACGCAGCTCAGGCAGAGGCGCGGACCCCCGACGGCCACGCCGCGCCGGGCGGGCCATTGTCTCAGCCGTCCCTCCCAGCCCCACGCGTGGCCACGGCCGTGGGGACGCGGCCCCGGCGCCCCTTTACCTGCGGCCGTACGGCTGCACCGCCCAGCCGTGGGCTGAACGAGCGGCAGGGGCGGCGCGGCCTTTGTGCGTCTGCCGCTGCCCCGACGGCGCCGGGACCGGGACGGGGCAGCGCCATGCCCGCCTCCCACGGCCGCGGGCGCCGGGACCCCCACCCCCACAGCGGCTCCGGGGGGCCGGGCTCACCTCCGGCGCGGGGCGAGGGAGCGGCGCGGGCGCCCCCTACTCGTCCGCGCGGGGACAGTGCAGGCGCGGGGTCCCTGCGCGGGCGGCCGGCGTCCGGCGGGGGGACTGTTGGGGCAGAAAGTGCTCGCAGCAGCTGTTGCGCCCTCCCCACGGCCGCGCCGCCCGACGCCACGCCCCCAGCCGCGCTGGGCACGCCCCCTCGGCGCCCGCGCCTGTGCGCAAGCGCACTCCCGACCCGCCCACAGCCGCCGGCCACGCCCCCCACGGGCCCCCGAGGCGCGAGCCCCGCAGAGCAGCGCGCGCACCCCACTCCCACCCCGTGGGCTCCCGCGCACGCGCGCCCCGCGCCGCCTCCCGCCATCCGGCTTAACGTGGCGCGCTCGCGCCCGGGCGGTTCCAGTGACAGGTATTCTGGAAGGGGTGGGGGCTACAAGCGTTGCGCGCAGGCGCACAGCCAGCCCTCCCTCGCTGCCTCCCCCTCCCTTGCAAGGTGCGCCCGGAGAGGGAGGGGAGGGAGGGAGGGAGGGACCGGTTGCCCAACTCCCGGGTCGCCTAGAATCACGAACAAAAAAAAAAAAAAAAAAAAGCCAACCAACCTTGCCACAGGCTTCCAGGAGCTTACGAGATAGCGGTGTTCTGAAGGTAAACACTTTTCAGAGAGTCAATGTAAAGAAGATCCGGGACCTATAAGGATTAAATTTCTCTAAATTAGTATCTTTATAAAGCTAATTGCCTTTTTTCCTTAAGACCCTGAGCTTGTGTTTCTATTATAGTTTCATGTCTAAATTTGGAGTTGGTACCAAAGAATCTACTTACTTTGCATAGAAATTCACTTGGGTGAAACTAAGCTTAAAAGTGGGGTCAAAACAAAAACAACAAACACACACACATACCCCTTTATGCTCAACTCATTTAAAGCTCTTCCCTGTTTTGTTCCTGACTCATATTAAAGATGAAAGAAAAGACAGGAAAAGGTTGGGACTCCAAAGGCCTGAGACAGATGCCCCGTGTTTTTTAAGCGAGCCCCAGAGAGGAACTATGGCGGCCACAATCACTTCCAATAATTTTTCTGCTCTAAAATGCAAATGAATTCAAATGTAAAATAGATCTATTGCTTCACACCGAATGGCCAACTTGTTTGTTTCTTTTTCAAGCTGGCCCTCCGTGTGTCAGAAAGTGGAAAAGCATCAAGAAAAGCATTCATTGCCATTTCCTAAATCAAGGGGTGGGGGGGGAACCAACCGGAACTGGTAAGCAACGCAGTCCTTAATAAATAGGAAGAAGAATTCAAGAAGACAGCTTAGCAAGGGGCAAGAATCTGCCTTGTAGAATGTTTTTGCTGTCATTTTACATATAACTACCAACCCACATATGGTCTCGTTAGTCTTTTTTTTTTTTTTTCCAAAGGAAGTGAATCAATTACTTACTCACAATTAATTAGCATTGCTGGAAGTAGGATCCTTAAGCCAATCCTGATTCTCATTCAAGCACATAAGATATTGATCATTTTTAGTACTAGGGTTCCTTTTCTCACCACAGATTAATATCTCTCTCTAAAGTACTGGCTAAAGCCTTATAAATATTCACGATCAGAACACAACGGCTCAGCAAACATTCATACGCAGGAGACTTCACTTAACTTTGTCCCAAAAACCACTGGGGGTGGGGGGGAAAGACACAGCTTTGATACAAAACAAAGAAAACTATGACCAAGTAACGAGGCTGGAGGTGAAGCCTCAGTCTTCGTGTTAATGGATAACCTTTGCACTCCGAAGCCTTGATACTGTAAACACAATAGCTGAGAGTTAAAAATCCCAGCGTGGAGACGGAGAATAAAGGAAAGTCCAAACTTCTCAGGAGCAATGGGGAAACAGTCAAATATTTTGACAAATCATCATTTGGCTAAGAACAATGAGACTCGGGCTCTCAGACCTTGTAGCTACTGAGTTATTTTCAGAGCAAAGGAAGAAAGGGGAGGGGGGGTGTTTTCCTCCATGCCCTCACAAAGCCACCACTCTGTTAAGCCATTTTGGCATCAGATGGTCTGTTACTGTTTCTCCTCCCCTTCCTCCCCCCACCACAAATAAAGGGGGGAGCAACTTACTACGTTGTCGCTTTTAAAATTGAAAGAGAATTGCCTTCCCTGCTCTATCTGCTAAGAGATTTGAATGAAATCCTGATGTCTGAGAAAAGAATTACAAAGAACCTTCCCTCCTGGAGATGTGCCAACACAACTGGGAAATCGTTGCAAAATTCTGCCACTGACGGCTGAGCTTGCAAACACACACCGTGTTTTCCAAGGGACATGGAAGGATCGGAATTCCTGCCTTAGAATGCAGAGGCTCGTGCCTCGCGCTGATTTGGGAAGCGTGGGTCGTTAGACACAATTAAAAGTCGGAAAGTCACAGGAGAACACGAGGGACGTTTGGTTTCGTAATAAGCAGCTAAGAACTCCCCACTCCTGGGCTAAGTGGAAACTGAAAAATCGAACGTTGGTCTCCACGGCCTTGGCCCCGCCCACGCGGAACCCTGCTTCGCCATCACTCACTTCCCAGGCTGCGATACTTCTAAAGGAATCAGGTGCTGAAGAACGCAGACACGCAGAGTGGGACCCGGCTATCCGTCCCCGCTCCTGGCATCTGCACGTGTAGCCTAATCCAGGCCCCAATCCACCACCTCCTGAACCGGACGAACCTCAGCCACGTCTCTTCTTTTTCAGTTTCCAAACACTCCCCCAGACCCCGCCCGCCCGCCCCAAGACACATTTCCCAAAGTGCGCTTATAAAATCACACACCATTATCTCTGATTTCATTTTAGTGCTAGCAGGCCTCTTCCTTAAACTAACATCTGATTTTCTATCCAGACCCTGCCTGTATTCAAAAAATCTAACAAAAACAAGAGTAAGCCTGGTTTGCTGTATATACTATCTACAGGAATTATCTTCTTGAGACGAAGTCCTAATTAGAAGTGCAGATGAAACATAATCTTTCCTAAGTATTTATTTCACTGTGGAACAGATTACAGAGAAACAACTTGGAAACGAACTCCCTGGAGCTGCAGCACAAACGGCACAGACGCTCAAAAGGACTCTGTGCAGGGCAGGAAAACCAGAAAAACTGCAAGCAGCAGGAAACAGAAAAAGTTAGTCGGAACCTGCATTTACAAACTACAAAGGACATTTGAGAGGGAGGCGGGGGGTAGCCCTCTTCCCAAGACTGAAAGCACTAAATTAAGGAGAGGTAACAAAACAAAGCCGAGGGGGGCACTCCATCTTCCCTTCCTAAATTTCAACCCCAGAAGCCATCCGTTTTCAAATACCCGGTAAGGTAAGAGAGAAGTAGATGGCAGAAATTACCTTTCAGGAGGGAAGGCGGTGCTGGAACCGGGAAATCCTAGGAGCCTGCCAGTCCACCTGGCCCGGAACAATACAGCAGGAGATGTGATTGCTGGTTTTTACAAGCAAACCAAGAAGGGAGGGGCTAAGCGTAAAGCTCAATTTAAATAGGTTGAGATATAATCCGACTTGATTGACTAGATCACCCTTGATTGGGTTAAGAACACCATTTGATCTAAGCACATCTGTCCTTTTCCTCTAGTTTGTTTACCTCTTTTACAAACACAACTGCAGTCTTCTCTAATATTGCTGTTTCCCAAGGCTGCCCTCTCTCAAAGTATTCGTGGAAACTGCCTTAAAGACTGAGGCATACAACATTCCTAAAGAAGCTCCTCTCAAAACTTCTTGGACTCAACAGGTTTCCCAATGGGGCAAGGGAAGAGAGAAAAGTAACAATCATTGAAATCCAATCATGGCCACCATCTCAACGGAGAGAATCGGTTTTTTGTTCACACACTGAAACCAAAACAGTCTGGAGGCAGGAAGATGAAGGCATTCGAGGCTAGTGTGACTACATGAGATCTTGTCTCAGAAGAAACAAAAACAGGAGGGGACCCCGTTCAGGTGGCAGAGGGCTGCCTCGTGTCCAGGGAACCCTGGCTTCTGTCTCCAGCACAACTATGAACAAGGGCATGGCGACACATGTTATAATGCCAGCACTGGAGAGGCAGAAAGAGAAGGCTCAAAAGCTGGAAGTTGTTCTCAGCCAAACAGTGAGTTTGAGCCTGGCCTGGGCCATAGCATAAACCCTAGTCTCAAAATAACAATAATCACAGGGTGTGGCAGTACAAACCCTTAAACTCAAGGCTCTAGAGACAGAAACAGGCAGGTCTCTGTGACTTAGGGGGCAGCCTGATCTACAAAATGAGTTATAGGCCATCCACAGCTATGTAGAGACCCTATCTCAAAGAACCACTTAATAGCTATTATATGAATAATATTAATAATCTATAATTAAGGGCAGGAGAGACGGCTCAGCAGTAAAGGGCACTGACTGCTCTTCCAGAGGACAGAGATTCAAATCCCAGCAACTACATGGCAGCTCATAACTATCTGTAATTCCAAGATCTGATGCTCTCACATAGCCATACTTGAAGGCAAAACACCAATGCACATAAAATAAAGATAAATAAACTTTTTAAAATTTTTTTTAAAAATTAGCCAGGCGTGGTGTGCACACCTGTAAGCTTAGCCCTCGGGGAGGCAGAGGCAGATGGATCTCTGTTTGTAAGTTTGAGGCCAGCTGATCTACAAAGCAAGTCCAGGACAGCCAAGGCCACACAAAGAAACCCTGTCTCAAAAAAACCAAAACCAATAATAATAATAACCTACAATTCTATGATACATATTTTATTATCATCATTTAAAACTATAGGAGTATTCTGCAAGTCTGGTGCCACCTTGCATTACAATCAATAAATTTTCTTCCCCACAAACAGCTCTATTAAAGTTTATATGCATGTATCTATCAGCAAATCCTATATTTCCAATTTTGGAGCTGGGGATATAGCTGAGTGGCTCAGCAATCAGGCACAGAGCCCCAGGTTCAATCCCAAGCACCTCAAAAATATTTTGAACCTCAACTATGTCTACTTATGTGTATCTCTAACCCCAGCCTGGTGGAGGGCACTCCATTTTCTGCTCCAGTCACACCCAGTGACCATGTACATGCTTCTCAGCTTCTGTCTAGCTTTGCCTTCATGCTTTCTCCATCCATAACAAAGGACACCCTTCACAATAGAGAGCACAGCCTGACACCACCCAGCTCAGTGGCTTCCTATTGCCTTGAGCAAAAGAGAACAGTTTCCTTAGCTGGCCTGGCTAGCCCAGGGGACTGGCCACCATCTTGTGGCCTCACGTCTTGGCAGGATCCTCACTTCAAATCCTACACATATCAGCAGTGCTCTTCCTAGACCAGGGCTTTCCACATGTCCTGCTCCTGCCACCATTGCTTCCTACTCTCTACAAACAAAAACACAAAAACAAAACACCTACTTTCCCTTCTCTTCCAGGGGATCCAACATGGTAGCATAGACAGGCACAGCCTCTCCCTTCATTGTGGCTCAAATCCTTGGGCTCCACCACTTAAGAGCTGAATAATCCCAAACTATTATTTGGTCTCCATTCAGGTTCAATTTCTTTACCTAGAAAAGGGTGTGGCAAGCCTAGCCTGATTGCTCAGGGCAGTAACTCCAGCTGCTCAGAGGGCTGAGGCAGAAGTTCATGACTAGACAGGGCAACCTGAGACCCTGCCTCCAAAATTAAAAGAATAAATAAATAAAGGATGTGAAAGCACAAGCCTTTAAGGAGGAAAAGGCAGGTCGATCTCTGTGTGAGGCTACCATGGTTTATAAGTGAGACCCTGTCTCAGTCAATTAACAGTGTGATAGTTCAAACCTGTAATCTCAGCATTCAAGTGGTAGAGGCAGG